CACTGAATTTGTTCCTTTAAAGCTCAAATGTACATGTTACTTAAGTTCTGACCATTTTGGTATTTGTTAGTCAGCTTGTCAGAAGAGTTTTCAAGTCTTAATTACGTATACCACGATCATTTGGCTCTCGCTTGTATTTCGTAAACCACTAAATGCCAATATAACTATTGGAGTCTAAGAAATCACGAACCTATTGTAAAGTTAAGAATCATAACATGTAACTGCAGCGGTATATGGGACATCAAGAAAATTGCGGAGGGAGTGTATTCCGATGTTTTTATTGGCGAGTATAAGAGGACGATGGCCATACTGAAGGTAAGATTTTTTCACTGACAGTGCAGTGTGGGAAAATAATTCCTTATTCCCTTAACCATCACATTTAGTTGATCCCAATTGGTGCTGAGGGACAGATCGAAAGATTATATGAAAATTCGTTCCGCGAAGCAGCTGCGAAAGTAGTCGTTCTGAAAGAACTTACGGGACTCAGTGAAGTTGGTGAAGGACATTCTACGGAAGGATTTATTCAGCTCAATGGAGCGATGGTTATAAAAGGTGAGCCTCATAGTTGAAGTATCTCATGAAAGGCTGTTGCAACGAGGACCACAAATGTTATTTCAATTTCTACAGACTGAAAGTCGTTCCCTCAATATTTCCATATTTGTTCCCAAATTACTCTTTTTCAGGAAATTATCCGTTGTCGATGGTTCATGCATGGAAAGTGTACAAACAAAGCATGAGCTCCTACAAATTAAACCCAACTTTCTTTCCCCCAAACCAAAATTATCTGCTTCTTGCCTTCGAGTATAGTGAGATAACTTTGAAAGATTATAAGGTATTATTGAACTTTGATTTTATTTTAATGGTAATTTATGATAGTTAAGCGAAAAAGAAAGGTATGACATTACGAAAAACAATGAAAAGAACAAGATAGTTTGCTTTTTACTATTTTAAGTTGCTACTTCTAAAGATTCCGTGATGCACGTATTAATTTTGTAGATTGTTAATATACGTCAGGCGTACAGCATCATTTACCAGTTGTTCATGGCCACTGCTGCTGCGGAATTTCGACTTTCATATGAACATCGTCGCCTGAGCGTCAAGAATGTTTTGATTATTTCCTGTGACCCTAATGATACAATTAGGTATGTATCTCGAAAAGCATACAATGCGATCAACTAATGCTTTACTTATTATTTTTCAACTTCGTTTTCTCTTAAAATTTCAATTTCAAATGGAAAATCGAACTTCAACATGGTTTTAGAGCCTACTTTGACGGTTCTGAAGTCTACATACATACACATGGTGTCAAAGTCAAGATTATAAGTTCTTCTTTTTGCAGAATGACCAAAGGTATACATATGTTTTCTTCCGTTTTCAATAAATGAACTTTCTTTTGGGGAAGTATAATAAATTTTCATTCATGAAAACATGAATTTCCTGAACGTAACTTTTTGTGTACTAAAAACATTACAGATGAATCTTTGATCTATTTCGATTGGGCATCGAATGAAGGATTTTTAATGGGTGAAAATAATTTAGAACAAATTGCCTTTCAAACAATGCGCACGCTGAATAAGTAATAAATTTGAATATTGGTGTAGCTTAACGTTGGCATATAGCTAATAATACCATACACACTGTGCATTAAGGAAATTTGGATAAAGAATGATTAAGGGCGATATTAAGCACAGAATCATAGTTTATCATAGATATCAGAAAAGGATGAATTCGGTAGTATGTATACGTTCTTTACATGCTGTAAAACAATTGAAGTAGATCTGATATCAAATGGCGAAAAATGCAAGTGGGAATTTAACGGATGTGAATTCAGCGCTGGAAGTTTGAGTTGTATGAGTTCGACAATCATCGAACAATTTTTAAATGAATGGGTGCTTCATTCAAATTCAAAATTTTTAGAAACCTTTGGCAACCATTTTGTCCTACATCAAACGTTATCTGGCTGACATACATCATTGATTACGTTCATGATCGACTACTGCAATTGCGAGTTGACAGCCCGGAAATTCGTGATGAATTTCTTGATCATTTTAAATTCTTGCATTTATATGGTGAGAATTCTATCCATTTCACAAGTGCGAATTACTTGTTTGGTAACTTTTTCCAGATTTTAAGCAAATAATTTATTTCTATTCATTAAATATATAAATTATAGATACTGCTTGGAAATGGATTTCCGATCATATTGATAGCTATATGAAGAAGGAAATTATTGAGAAGTCAGAGGCTGAAGAAGCATAATCAGACGTTTTATATTTTTGAATTGCGGTGATAATATTTGGTAGTTTATGTGGTTTATTTTTAACTGGACAGCTGCAAAATAGAATTTAAATACCAAGCATTCCTGTGAAACCATCCAATCAGAGTGTTTTTCGCTGTTTTGTAGTTGCAAAGTCTGCATCAATACCAAAATACTGTAAAACTTTTGTGGGACTACTGTAATGAAAATTTTCAGCAGCTTTTGTCCCATAATCAGTATGGAATGTTATGTGTTTTCTTGGTTTTATTTATTTAACGTTTTTGTCTCAAATCAATATTCGTTGGTGGATTTTTTAGAATGATCAATGTTATGTGTTTCGTTGGTTTTACTTATTTAACCCTTCAATAAATAGTTTTTTTTTCGAAAAGGCCA